AAGGCATTCATCACCAGGCAAATTAAAATATCAAAATTCACTTTCACACTCTTTAGACAACAATCAAAATGGAAAGATTAAAAAATACATATAAAACTCAATTCAAACTAAAGCAACAGGAAGGAGTACACTAAAGGTTTCTTCTCCTTAGAATTAGGGGCCCTTAAATTGCCTCTGCATTCTCAGATGGTCCAAGAAATATGATACTCCAATTTATTCAAGGTACTAATTGTGCTATTAAGATTGCATTCTTTCTTCTTTCTTCGGAATTAATCAGTGGGCCAAAATTTTGGTGAGAAACTTCTCCAATTTTATTTTATTTTATTTTTTAAATTTATTTTTTTTGAGACAGAGTCTCGCTCTTTCACCAGGCTGGAGTGCAGGCGCACCATCTCAGCTCACTGCAACCTCCGCCTCCTGGGTTCAAGCAATTCTCCTGCCTCAGCCTCCTGAGTAGCTGGGCCTACAGGTGCGCTCCACCATGCCCAGCTAATTTTTGTATTTTTAGTAGAGATGGGGTTTAACCATGTGGCCAGGATGGTCTCGGTCTCTTGACCTCGTGATCCGCCTGCCTCTGCCTCCCAAAGTGCTGGGATTACAAGCCTGAGCCACTGTGCCCAATTTTAATAACATATTGGAAATCAAAGATACCTTAATTCATAGGTGTACTCAGATGTACAAGTCAAAGTTTATCAAACCTGTCTCTCTGGAAATGTTTTATTTTTCAGGAGAAAATTTTTATAATGGGGGGATTGAGAGGAGACATAGGTAAAACATGAGATTAGGGAAGGGAGTGATTTGAAAGATATGGCCTGAGACATGACCCAGATCACAGATGAAGGAATCTCATATATTTATTGCTCCTTAGTTTGTCTTGCTGAGAAAAATATATTAATTACACCATCTTTATGACCATCATAAAGGTCACCACATCCCCACATCCCCACATCCCCACATCGTCTTTACAAGCTAATATTACAATGATCTCTCAGGGGTACTTAGAGAACCGCTTAATATTTGTGAAACTCTTGTGAAATATTCAGAAAGACACGGAGTCTTTCCATTTTCAGTTAGTTACCCAGGGTTTTATGGTAGTACTTTGAACTATGAACAGCTTTGTCAACTCTCTTAGGCCCAAAGCAGAAAATGCTGTGGACAGAGAAATAATCTGATTCAATTATGAATATAGTTTTTTTATGTAAAGGATAAATCTGCAATTTAAACATTCGGAAACTTTCACCCCTAAAGGCCTTATATGGCGTTCTATAAAAATACATTTGCTTAAAAATTCCAGTTAGCGTATCAGAAATAACAATATTTATAAGAAACATCCCCTTATCCTGAAGTACAAGGACAACTGTAATGTTCTTGATTTTAGTAAAGAAAGTGAGTTATACCTTTTTATAATACGGGAGGAAGCTCTAATGTCTTTCAGAGAAGAGTTAATCATGTTAATTCCATTCAGAAGGTATATGCTTTATATTACACATATGTTTAAATAATGTATGAATTATGATTATTGCTGAGAGAATAAATATCTTAGGAAGTGGCTGATAGACAAAAGTGATAGGTGGTCTAGCAAGAGCTGGAGTCTCCATATATAGAAAAATGGATTGACAGTCTTAGAGAAAAACACATTTTGTGAAGGTTTTCACCCTCTGTCTTCATTCACTAGCATTTGTATGAAGTAAATCATCACTACTTTTGGGGTAGACAGATATATCAAAATCTGTTGGCAGAGCTGTTGCTTTGGCTAGGCATTTCAAATTTCCTTTTTTTAATATATGAGAACTATGATTGCTATATAGCATGAGTCTATGAATACAATGCTACCAGCTTCTTCAAATGAAGTGAAAAACATGCCATTTCACTTTTCTCCTACATACATATTATAGAAAATTCCCTTTGTTCAAAATAAAAATTCATAGAGGGAAAAGAAGCAAACACTTCCATTTAGCTGAAATACTGAAATTGCATGTAATCTCTTAAGGTATGCTGTTTTATTTACTTTCAAGCTTGACATTTCCATTTGTTGCTCTTCAACACCAGTTTCTTGACTCAATTCAATCAGCTGAAATGTGCCATTAACAATAATCAATAGTTTCAGTAGTTTACCGTTTTTACCATGACATCTCCAAGTCTTTCATCAAAAGATCGTTATCCAACCATCTAACTAAAAATCAGAGTTGGCCATAAATGTCATTTCATTCCATAAAATGTAGTTTAAACCTCAGGCAAGTGAGATTTATAGAAAACACAATATTAGCTGCCAGGGAAGAGGGAAACTGTCTCTGTTTTAAAATAATTTTAGAATCTTAGTTAACCTTACTATAGTTAAGAAGCAAATGCTGAGGTTTTCAGGAGCTCTATGGGAGTTTTATCTGGATTTTGAGAATAAATATAGTTTATCACTTTGGGGTTGAGGCAGTAAAAAGTCCCTGCCTTATTCCCAAACTCTCTCTTTTTCTACCTCAGGTACACTGAAAGTTGCGTGTAATATGTGCCCTAGCTCAAAGACGGAAAAGAGTAGCCTGATCGACATTGGACTTTATGTGAGCAACAAATAAACTTTGGTTTGGTTAAGCCACTGGACAAAAACAAATAAATACATTTTCTTGAGTAACATGGGATAAGCTAAGACATTTTCTCAGCATGATTTCCAACTGCTTTTGAAAGAGAGATCAGAAATCTAAACATAAAGTATTTATTTTCCATGCTTCCATAGTAAATATAGTTAGGACACATGGTGAATCTTCCCTTTAATGATTCATAAGCTTGCAGTTTCTCAAGATTAGAAATACAGATAAATTTTCATTATGTAATACAGCAGATATAAATACAAATTGTATCGTAGAAAATAGATGTGTTTTTGCCCTCAACTAGAATTATTCACTACTTAAAGAGATGTTTTATTAAGTGCTGGACATCAAATAATTTTTTAGTCATTGGGCTATTCTTTATTTTTCAAAGTAATCTGCTAAAAATAGACTTAACCAAAGTTTATTATTTACCTATCATAGCTGACGAGTAAAATGTAAACCCATGTTGTTTTGTTTTTTTTGTTTTAGTTTTTGAGATGGAGTCTCACCTCTGTCACCCAGGCTGGAGTGCAGTGGCACCATCTCGGCTCACTGCAACCTCTGCCTCCCGGGTTCAAGCAATTCTCCCATCTCAGCCTCCCAAGTAGCTGGGATTACAGGTGTGGGCCACCACACCTGGCTAATTTTTGTATTTTTAGTAGAGACGGGGTTTCGCCATGTGAGCCAGGCTGGTCTTGAACTCCTGACCTCAGGTGATCCAGCCGCCTCGGCCTCCCAAAGTGCTGGAATTATAGGCGTCAGCCACTGCATCTGGCCAGGAAACTCATGTATCTATTAAAATTCTGGAATGGCTTTATCAGCATTTGCAATATTATACAATAAAATTTTATTTATGAAATAGCCTAAGCCAAATATATTATAGTAGTACATTGTCTAACCATACATCTAAGAGTGAGCAAAAAACTCTATATTTGCATTGCCCTTATATTCTGTCACAAGCCATGGGAGATATCTATAAAGTCTGGTATTTTTCTAAACAAATTACCTCCAAATGATCAAACTAACTCAACATGCATTTTGGAGGAGAAAGTGGGGTCAAAGCAGGATGATGAAGCAAGAATGATAAATTCAGGAGCCATAAATTTCCAGTGTTACCTACTCCTATGCACCAGAGCAGCAAAGTAGATCAACTATCACATCAAAAAATAAAAACAGGAGAAGGAGAATAATAGGAGGAAGAGAGGAGAAGAACTTCTGCTTATTGTGATTTGATTCTGGAATTATTTTTTCAAACTAGAATATACTATCATGTTTTTTATAATAATTTAAAAATATCAAAAAATAAAGTTAGTCTAAAAAATCAATCATTTTATTATAATGATTTATATCCAAATTGTATTTGAAAGACTAGTACAGTTATTATATCAAGTCAGAAAAACCAACTATACATAACAAAACTCCATAATGGTTCAGGAAAATTATACCAGGTATTGCGAGTAAACTTTAAGAGCTTCCTTGTACTACAGAATATGATTCTCACGAAGACTCCATTTAAACAAAACTACCCCAAACTCTGTTTTCACTGTTTATGCATATGGAACTTTATGGAAATAATTTTTGTTTCTAGGAAAAACAATTGTCTGAAAATTGTTTGATCATTAACTATGACAAATTTAGCCATCTCATTCTTATTTTCACAGATCATGTTAGGAAGAAAGCTACAAAATGCCAGATTAACATTTCAAAACATATTTGAAAGTAATGAAGGGAAACTGATTCAGTTAGCAATGCTAAATAAAACAGACAATTCATACAGATGCTTTCCCTGTAAAATATTAAATAAACACTCAAAAATGTCAACTTTTAAAATTTAATAAACCAATCCCTAAGTTATTTCTCTGAGCAAAGTTTCTCCTTGACCGAAGCTCTGGTTTTTTGTTTGTTTGTTTGTTTGTTTTTTTGAGGCGGAGTCTCGCTCTGTTGCCCAGGCCGGAGTGCAGTGGCCGGATCTCGGCTCACTGCAAGCTCCGCCTCCCGGATTTACGCCATTCTCCTGCCTCAGCCTCCTGAGTAGCTGGGACTACAGGCGCCCGCCACCTCGCCCGGCTAGTTTTTTGTATTTTTTAGTAGAGACGGGGTTTCACTGTGTTAGCCAGGATGGTCTCGATCTCCTGACCGCGTGATCCGCCCCTCTTGGCCTCCCAAAGTGCTGGGATTACATATGCAAATGTTTTTCGGATCAGAGCATGTACTTTTTCTAAGATGAGGGTGTTAAGTGGAATTATAAATAATGTTTCCTTCTCTCTCTGCCTCTCTCCTCCTTGTCCAAATGCCGAAATATATCAGGCTGTATAAAAGCAACTATTTTGTTTTGTCCCTGGCTTGTCAGTTACAAGTACAAATGCTGAGAATTGTTCAATTGGATCCACAAGAGTGCTAAAGCGGAAATGCTTGACTTACTTGCCATTGTTTCATCAGCTCTTTTACTCCCTTGGAGTCTTCTAGGAGCCTTTCCTTACGGGTAGCATCCTGTAGGACATTGGCAGTTGTTTCAGCTTCTGTAAGCCAGGCAAGAAACTTTTCCAAGTCCAGGGGGAACTGTTGCAGTAATCTATGAGTTTCTTCCAAAGCAGCCTCTTGCTCACTCACCCTGTGAAAGAACAAATGTTCAGATGCAGTTATTAAATATCAGAATGGTACACCTAGTGAACTCCACAAAAAGAGAAAGATGGAGGAACTAAATTGTAATATACCAACAATGGGGTGAGTTGTTGCTACAGCTCTTCCTTTAAGCAACAGCTATAATACTGTGCAGTCTATTTACTTTCATTTTTATTTAACCTAAAGGCATTTGTATGGGGGAAGGCATGCAATAATGACAATTACAGATTTCTATAAATCCCTCTCCACAGAGGAGGTTTTATATATATATATAAATATATATATATAAATATATATATATAAACATATGTGTATATATATGTGAAATATATATATATTTGAACATTTGCAAGTTCATTTGAAAGTTCAAAGTATCTTTTTTCAATTTTGTAGTTTTTGTTGGTCAATTTTGAAAGCTTATTTTTAATATACTGCCAAATTTGAGACTAACCTTTGTAGTTAAAACCCTAAAATCCCTGTACCATGCTTGTCTTTGATGCCGCTCTGAGGCAGAAAACAAGCATTTGATATGCAAGGAGAAAAGTCAAGAAAATACGAACCTAGAGTCAAAAGGAAAAGACAAAAAGAAGGGGATTGGAGGGCAAAGGAAGAAAGACTAACAAGTAGAGAAATAACATTTCATAGAAACTATCATTTTGTGCAAACTATCATTTTGCATGACTCCAGTTATACCTATTGTGTTATTTTTGTATTTAATTACTTGATCATACAACTGAGAACATTTTCCAAAATAAAAATGTTATATGTAACATAAAAGAGTAGAGCCTTAAAACCAGGCAGATCTGAGTTCAATTCCCAATGTTCCTTACCAGTTATGTGATATGGCAAGTTACCTCTCTGATTCTCAGTTTCTCATCTGCAATATCTATTGCTGTGATGAGAATTAAAATAGAAAATTCCTGTGAAGTTGAGTGCCCCACACGTTATACAGTTATACATTACAGTTACTCAAAAACGTTAGTTCCTTCTACTCATATCCCATTTCCCCATTCCTGTAATATTTTAAAAGGATGAAACAAACTCTTTCATGACAAAAACTCTAAAAATGTATTCATATTTTTGATCATATATATAATGCATGTATTGTGGATACATACACATATGCCCTCAGCAAATATCTATATAATAATAGCTTAGAAAGGAAAATTGCCTTAGGCATTAACAGTCCCATCGGAAAAGATTCAGGTAAACTTTGTCTGCAATGAGGAAATTAGTACTCTATTTAAATGTCTTATTTGCCTTCTATTACTACACAAACACTTTCTGGGATTAAACATAAGCTAAAAATGGATTTTAAAAAATTGAACACTTGAATATGATACCCATTGCTTGTTAAGATGTGATTGTCAATAATTATGCAAAACTGCAATTTATTTCAGCAGCAACTTTATCATGGGATGTGCAAACCAGGCAATAAACAACTGCTGCCGAGCCAGCGGCGGCAAAGCCCCCGGAAGAGCTGTTTATTCATCATGGGTGAGGTTTTTGCTGAGCACACAGTCTTCCACAGTGGAGTTTCAGTGCTCATACTGGATAAAAATCTTCCATCTGCATTAACTGGTGGAGGGTAGAATAGGTTTATGAGGATGCAGCTACTGGAAAAAAAGTAAGCATTGCACTAAGCTATTTATCAACTCCTAAATAAACTTTAATACTGCACAGCTGAAAGGTAGTGTAGGCTTCTGGTTGGGCAAATAAATTAAACCTCGTGTAGTTCAAGGGCTAACGTGGACTGCCGGCTCCCTGTTTATCTAGTTTTCAGGCAAACTATCAACGCAAAGAGAAATATCAAAATAGTCATTTATCTTTTTATTTATTACGGTTGAAAAATTCAGAACCATTGCAACAACTCCAAGAATCTCGATGTTACAATTGGACATGCACCTTACAGTCTGAACCATGTGTAACTGCTGACAATTGACTGGGTTTGACCTACAAAAGTGGCAGTTTCATGCAGTTTGCATTAAGACTTACTCCATCTCCAGTGCAAAATTTGGAACAGAAATAGGCTGTCGCATTCCAGCATACAAATGCAGGGTTAGACATTTGACATATTTTCTAATGTAGTCCCATTTCAAACAAAATTTAAAAATATGAAATCTCCCATGGCAGAGTGAAACTTAGAGAATGTAATGTTGTGTATTTTATCAGCATCAGCTTCATGATGAGTTGCACTTGCTACATCTTAGCTCCTCTATCCTTAAACTAGAAATGCCGCTTACCCTCTGCTTCCAGAGGAAGTAACTAGTAAATAACTTTCCAAGAGTTATTTGCAAAATGCAATGCACATAAATCAGATGAAAGAGTTCTACCGAGACAATGCGATTTTCAGCCAAATCCTACCAGCAAGTTTGCTGCTTTGTAAATTAGGTCCTTAGGGAAGAACAGTAACTCTTTCAGGACAGTAAGGAACCATTTTCCTAAATGATACCCTTGTGGTCTGAAATATTGACAACATCAGGCTGAATATTTTCTAATTTGGAAAATACGTTAAAAATTCAATGGCAATAACAGCAGAAAATCTCCTCAAATGAGCTCCTTTACATGCCTCTTTAATAATAGGTAAGACTGTTGTTTCCTGCTTGTGTGCGGGTTTTACGGCTTCAACATTTCTCTCGGAATCTGTGTGTGTGTACATTGAATTCCTAAATTTTAATTGTGCCAGGTCTAGTCTAGAATTAGTCAAGAATACTTAATTTCCATATCTGTGCATTCAACATGTTCTAAATGTATCATATAGTTTTAAATTTTCCTGAACCATATGGGTTTAAATGGCTTATATGATAAATAAAATGTAAAAACTAAGAATCATAAAGAAAAAAAAGATATGTTTAGAAAAAAAACCCAAAGTCCTTGAATTAGATTTTTAAAAATTCCTTCTTCCAAGTTATCAAACCACAGGCCCTGGAGAAAATTTGCCTGAATTTTAAAAGTAACAATGACCAGATATTAGAAACTGTAATAATGCTTTGCAAACAGAATCTACTGTATTAGTTAAGTACTTTTTTTACATAACAAAGTTTTATAATCAGCTATTCCAGCTTTATGGTCCACAAAAATAGCTGAGAATTTGATGGAGTAAGGAATAATGTGATTTCAGAATGTTTTCATTCTATTCATAAGAGCACTGTGTACCGTTCTCAGTATGTAAATAAAGGCAGCCTGAAACAGTGTTCTCATAGTCCATGGACCAGCAGCACCAGCATCGTCTGAGAAGTTATTAGAAATGCAAATTCCCAGGCCTCAGCCTAGCCCCGCTGAATCAGAGACTCTGGGTAAAATCCAGCAAGCTGTGTTTTAACCAGCCTTCCAATATATGCTAAAGCTGGAGAATCACAGTTGCCAGAGACCAAATTTGAGAACGACTGGTGTAGTAGATGCTAAGCTGGGCTGCCCAGACCCCTTTTCAGGACTGAAATACTTCTGACCCCAGCTGCTGGTAGTGCTACTGGCTGATAGTCCTCAGCTGTTATCCCTATTTGAGAGGTGGCCTCAGCTATAGAGAGGTGCCTAGCCCAAAGTTACCCACTATGTCCCCGAGATGGGCTGCACGTTTCGGTTGATGAGAGAGTTGTGGGGTATGAAATCCTGGGTCCCTTGCTGCAACTCAGGACAATTCTGAAGGGCTATCCTACCTTCAGACTTCAGAGATCCTCCTGGGGAAGGCTAGGAAGGAGAGGCGGAGGGTTGATTGTGTTGTAGTCGTGACTGTATGGTAGGCCCAGCTTCTCTTTCTGCCCAGTCTTGCTCCCGCGCCTTTCCTCCCTTCACAGGTGTTAATCCTGAGAGCACTCTCCAATAAAATTCCTTCATGCTAATCACTTTCTCAGAATCTGCTTTCTGGGAGAACCTGACCTCCTGAATTTTCACGCTGAACAAGGATTTTACAAATATACTTGCCTAAGAAATATATGTGGTCTCCAAAGGGAACAAGATGGAGGATTCTCACATACAGTAATTGTGCCTGAATTGCTACTGCACTTTTGGTTGCCCTTTAAGGAAACCTATAGATAATGCAGGTTTGCATTATCATCAGTTACAAGCAAGAATCTACTGAAGGAGCAGAGTGTTGGAGCTATAAAGCTTAGTGCAACCCTATATCTGCCAAACAAAGTGTTTATCCAGAGACAATTTTGCAGGAAGGTAAAGAATCACGGAAGGCATGTTTTCAGCACATCCATTTTCTTTTTAAGACCTGATGATCAATGAGACAATCAGATAAGTATATTCTGACCTGTCATTAGAACCCTACCCCTGCCACACACACACACGATGGTATTTCTGAATAAATCTCTAAGACTCCATTGAATTGAATATCTTCAATTTCTTATCCCCAACATAATACATGAAAAGGAAAAAGGAAGGCAGATCTAATGTACAGCATGGAAGATAATTTTTAAAGCTAACATCGACATAACTCTTTATATGTTTTCAAACATATTCAGAGTTATTCTATCGTCACTTCATAAGATGTTTTCCATTTTTCTACCTACCTTCTTTTTCTTTGTATACTCAGCTGGTTATTGCATTCTCTGCCAATGGCTTTAAACTCGATACTCGTTACTTTCCAAGGTAAGCCTAAAGAGCTTAGTTATTGTATAGACACTATTCTACTATTAGATATATGGATGAAAAATACTTTATCAGTGCATTATATTGTGGGATTCTAAGTGTGTAGGTATAACAGAAACATATGGAGTATTTTTAGAAAAAGGCTCAATCTGATATGAAAGGTTATTTTGCCCAGGTTATTTTTAAAATGTGATAAACTAGGAACGTTCAAAGAACTCACTCTTCCGCTAAATAACACTTTCACTATGCCCTGGCATTGTTATAGAGTAACCACATAAAATACTCTAAATCTTTCCTTCCTAGTTTATTTGCAATTTAGCCACTATAATTTCCTATGATATTTTAGGAGAAAGATTAAAGAACCATTATTTTGTTCCTTTTTTCTGATGGGATATA